AATAGTTATATAAATGATAAGAATGAGAAAAACCGTAGTAATAGTAGTGATAATTATAATAGATGATAGTGATAACTACAGTAAATAATGATGATAATGATAACAATAATAGTAGTAAAAGCAATGAATATAATAACAGTATCAATGGTGATAATAATGACAATAATAATAATAATAATGAAAATGATAATAGTAACGATAATAATAACGATAATACTGATGACGATAGTAATGATAATGATAACAATAATAATAACAATAATGATAAGAATGAATATAATGATGATGATGATGATGATGATAATGATAGTCATAATGATAAGGATCATGATAATGATCATGATAAAAATAGTAATGATAATAATAATGATAATATTGATAATAATGACAGTATTAATAATGATAACAATGATAATGATATTGACGATAACCACAATATCAGTGATAATAATATAATGTTGATTATAATGGTTCTGATAACAATTATTAACGATAGGAAATAATTATAAAATATTAATATATGATTATGATAATTATTATCATTAGGATAATACCTATAATGATAATGATAATACTACTACTACAGTTAATGATAAAACATAATAATAATCGTTAAGGTTATAATCATAATGATTTATGAAAACAGTAATAAAGCAAATATTTGATAATCTTTGCACAGATAACAATGCAAATGCTGCTATTAGGATGATAATAACAATGATAATAAAAGGAATAATAACAGCAACTTTAATTAAAAGTGCTAATAATCAGGATAAAGATGATGAAAATGACAGTGATATGTAATAATGATAATGCTAGTAATGATAATAATAATAATAATAATAATGATAAAAGTAATAAGAATAATAATGATGATTATCATGATGGTGGTAATAATGATGATAATGATAAGGATAATAATGATAATAATAATAATAATAATAATAATGATAATAATAGAAATAGCAATAATGATAAAGAAAATGATAATAATGTTGATATTAATAACGATAATAAAAACACTACTAATGGTAATAATTAGAATAGTAACAAAGCAACAACAATGATAATAATAATGAAATTAATAATAACAATAATACTAATGATAAAAAAGTAATTATGATAGTAACAATGATAAGGATGATTACTATAGTAATAATTATAACTATAATAATAATGATAATAATAATAACTGTAAAAGTAAAGACCATAACACTAATGGTAGTAACGGTACAACAGTAATTATGATAATAATAATGATGATAATAAAAGAATAAGATCAAAATAATTATCCTGAGAATCGTAGTTATGATGATAATCAACATGATACACAGATTAGAAATAAAACATATCTTTAAAAATATATATCATGAAAGCTATGATGATAATCACTATATTAAAAAAAAATCCTGAGAATCGTTATGATAATCAACATGATACAGAGATTGAAATAAAAATCCTTAAAAAAAAATCATCCTGAGAATCGTAGCTATGATGATAATCAACATGATACAGTGATAGGAAATAAAAATCTATCTCCCCCCCCCCCTCAGCACTGGACTGCGGTCGCCATCTCGTCAAACCTGGAACTTCTGTGACGTTCAAATCCAAAAGTTATCCGGACGGTTATCAGAAGGGGAAGTGCACGTGGTCATTCCGGGTGAGAAAATGTACATTGGTGTCTATATATATAAATATATACATACATACATATATATATATATATATATATATATATATATATATATATATATATATACATATATACACACACACACACACACACACACACACACACACACACACACACACACACACACACACACACACACACACACACACACACACACACACACACACATACACATATATATATATATATATATATATATATATATATATATAATATATATATATATTATATATATATATATATATATATATATATATATATATATATATATATATATATATGAATTCTTAGTTCTATTATTTTGATCTTCAATCTTATCTGCCAAGGCCATAATGCCAAAATATTCGCAAAACACCTAGAGATTCGCCTTTATCTCCTTTCGTGAAAATCACAATCAGTTAATCATAAAGGCGCCATCTAGTGATCTGTATTTTGAATAAAATTCTCTGTATATGAAGGGGTCCATAACTCATTTGTTATTGGTTCATTATTCATTGGTTTATTATCACTATTATTTTCATTTATCATTATCATTATTATCATTATCATTATTATAATTTATTATTACCATTATTATCATTATCATATCATATTATCATTTATCATTATCATTATTATAATTTATTATTACCATTATTATCATTTATCATTATCATTTATCATTATCATTATTATCATTTATTATTATCATTATTATCATTTATCATTATCATTATTATCATTTATCATTATCATTATTATCATTTATCATTATCAGTATTTCATCATTATCATCATTATCATTATTATCATTATTTATCATCATTA